ACATGGGACATTACATTGTTCGTTGGCGCGAGCTGTGTAAACCATCTCCATTCTATGCCTTTCCATGGCCAAAACTTCAGCATATTCCCATATGGATTGGAATAAATTCGTTTTGCTTGATGCTGGGGCGTGCGGGCCGATGCGGCGCTGCCCATGCGGCCGACTTGCTGTTTCCCCAGCGGCTTCAGCCCTGATATTACGTTTGGTTGCCTGTTTGTAATATTTGTGGTTGCTAGCGGGCGAGCAACACGAGCGGCGTTGTCCTTGTTTGTTTTCTAAGATAAACGGCAGCGGTGCGACGGAATGCGGTCGGAGTTCAATGCACGCACAAATTGTCAAAATATGTGGTCTTTATTTTAAGCGATTGGGCTTGGCCCAAAGTAAACTAGCTATTAGCGGAGATCTTTCCATTAGATACCACGCCTACCTGAAATCCATGTTGCTGCCCATGGAAACGACGGTGCACGGTTCCTTTAGGGCAGCGGGCTCACAGAGCCATTTGCCGCCATCACCCTCGGGACCCACACGCCGCAGCGGCCGCCCTGGCGGGCAGCTGATGAAGGGCTGGAACAATTGGAAGCGGTCCCAGTCCTTCGGCTTGTCGGTGTTGCCCTTAGAGACGATGTACTGGGCGCGGAAGAAGGGGGGATCAGAGAGGAGGGATGTGAAGTGCTGCCGGGCCCGGTTGCCATCGTTTGCAAGAATATGACGGTGAGTCGTGTCCTGTGATGCAATTGGGGCCTCACACATCCGATATTCAAGCTTCCCTCGACATGTTACATAAGCATCCATAGGTAGACAGCGGCGGAGATACCCTACCGGCACAGACGCTCTTCTTGCCAACACACATCTAGTAAGGCATGATGATGTCGCGTGTGGGATTGATAGTGGGGGAAAGGCGGCCCCGGAGCGTCACAGGGCCATGACGGTTAGGTCGCCTGTGCTGGTGGGAAGGCCAGCCGGTGTTTTTCGGCGAACTTCCAACTGCTAGTCGCCAAGATTATGTGGTTGAGCGTACTTAATCAGCCATCTGCCTGTAAGCGTTGGCTGGGCTCTGCACCAACAACTCCGCTCGTTGTATCGTAACCATTCCGTGTCAACTTCTTTGCGGCTGCTGACACATATATTTAAACATTTATGGATCCAGAATATATAACTTGGACAGCTAACCTTTTCTGTCGCCACAAAGAGGTGCGAGCGCCAAGCAGACAAGTTTCGGGCGGCAAGGAGCCCCCATTCGTCGTCATAAGCAGCAAAACGTAGGGATTTTTGCGCTTCAAAGCTGTGAGTACTTGAGAAAGAAGCGGACACAGTCGCCACGTAAAGCCCTCCCCATAATAAACGGATCAGTCTTGAAGCGAAGTTAACTCTCATGTCGCCCATTCGCACCACCTGCACTATGTTCGTAGTAACTTCTGTATCAGCGTAACGGTAGTGTCATAGCGTTATGTTACTCGGCGACCATAAGCCGTATGCAGGGCGTACGGAAACGTCATAAAG